AAGAGTGAGTGTGCGTGCATGTGTAGTAATGACTTACAAAGAAGTGATTCTTGGTGGTGTGAAGATATCCGTGTTGCTGCAATCTAAAGCATCCCACCTAAGCTGTTGAGGGAAGCATGGATCGCCTTGCCAGTTGATTCTACTCAATCCATATGTGCTTTCAATGTTTCTCATAGCAGCCACTGATCACATTAACATTTTCAAATTGTTAGAAAAATCAACGTACAAAGGCTGAAACACACACTGGAAACATACCTTCGGTTTCATTTGTTTCAGACTGCGGAAACTGGATAACCGTGAAGACTTCTAAAGCGTTAAGCAGAGGTGGAAGTGTTGATCTGTTGGTTCTTATCAGCTGAAACTTACATTGCCCTCTAGCGCAGGTCCTTGGAGACACGCTCAACATAGTAGTTATCTCTAACTTATCAGGAATTACAGGCTCGGTTGACATAACTTCGTCATTCCACACCATGTTGAATTCCCTGGTTTCATCGTCCCGCAAGTCTTGGATCTCGGCAAAGTGCGAGTACAAGTAATACTGGTCATCAGGCTTTCTGAGTTAGTCCACTTAATCGTCAATGGCTCACTGGCATTAGTAGGTATGGCTGCAGTTGCTAGTGCGGCTTTTGGTGGATCATAGCTGTTGTTATTTGACACAATCTAGTGGTGGATATTTGAGTCCACTCATCCTGAAAGTAGGCAAGCCATTGCCGATCATATATATCATTCTTGTACCTGATCACGGTGGAAATAATATTGTTTAGCAAAATAATCAGAATGGATATAACAATTATAAGATTACTCTGTATTCCATAAATAGTCTTACACTATGACAAAACCACCCATGTTTCTGTTAAAAATCAGACAGTAAAAAACAAGAGATGATTAATGCTGAGTAAGTTGAAGTGTTCTGTTACCTTATGTATTTTTCTGATTTGGTCAGATATACACGAAAGTAAAGACTGAGAGAACCAGAGTTTGTGATATAAGAATTATTTCCCATTGGCCTTATCTCCAAGGCTGAGATCATCGGTGTAGTCTCACCAGTCTTGACGAGACAGATCTGCAACGAGTTTGATGTTGGGATGTGTAAGATTTCTACCCTTGTCCCATTCACTTGTTCTTCCAAATCTATCGTGGCCCATGGATTAGGTCCAAGATACAGAGCAAACTTGGGTTTCACGTCACGGCCATCATAATTGCCATAGAAAAACCAAGCTCTGACCAGATGTTTTCTCCCCTTCTCGACGGGTAGATTGTAGCAATTCCGTCTTCCTTCTGGAAAAAATCTCACCGTAGCGTACGGCTTCATGAGCATACTCTCAAGATTTGATGCAACTGTACCAGTTTTGCCACTCTGGATGTATGTTGCGTCCGAATAGAACTGTAATTCAGTACCAGCGTCAGTGTAAGGAGACGGTTCATTCCCCGGTAGCCCACAATCCAAACTGATGAAACCTGTAAAAAGACATATACAAGAACGATTAAGAACCAAAATGGATAATAAGAAGGAGACGAATACGCATATATATAAATATATTTATGTATGTGTCATCTAAGAAGATGTGGATATATATACCTTGTTGGCTGGGACTCTGAGCTTGACCAATATGAATGATGGCCAAAGTTGCAATTAGCACCAGCAAAACAGCAAGAAACCTCTCCATGATCTCTTACTTGCCTAGGAAAAATAAGAAACCATGGCGAAAATATATAAAGCAAACGCCCCAAAAAGAAAGAAAAAACTTTGTCTAAGTCAACTTGTTTTCTAGTGCAACACGACCAAGAAGAAGAATAAGAGGATACTAAATAATCCAACACAACTTGCTTAGTATCACCTTCCAAGAATCTTCAAGGAAGAAGATAGCCACGGGACGGTATATAACGTCCAAATGGGAATGTGTGATTCGAGTGCAGTCCCAACAAAATCATTCATAACCCAAATCATACACTAGAAAGAAGGACTTTGTCAGGTCAATGGTGAAAATGAGTAAATGTGTTTTCTAGTGCCTGCGTCTTCACTCGGGGAAGAGGATGCCGTGATAAAAGGACAATAAAGTTCAAACATCACTTTTCTTGAACGTATTAGTGGAAATTAAGGAGCAAGTCTTTCAAGTGAGAATCTTTTAATTACGACAAGTCCAAGAGGAAAGTGATTAGCGGCTAATCATTAGCCTAATCACAACCATATTCTTTTTATTTACTTCTCTAGTCAGTCTAGTGAACTTGATTTGGGAAATTGTCACACATTTGGTGCAATCGTTTAGTTTCTTCTCAAATCACAGAAAAACACAATGCTTCTAATCCTCGTTTACTTGGATATGTTCATGAATAGAAAAAGTTTCCCTAATACAATGTTCTACCCTGATTTGAAAGAAACAATTTTCCAGATTGAAATTTAGTATTCGTAATCAAAAACCATAAGCTTGAGAATTTCAAAAATTAAACCTGTTTAGATAACTCACAGGCAGCAAAATTCGAGAGAAATCAAGGTCTCTCATCTATCTCAGCCGGGGGATGAGGATTTTCGGTGGTAAAATGACCGTATACGACGGCGAAACTCCCGGCGGAAGAAAGAGAAGAGCGCTTCGCCATCAGCATTCAGCAGTTCCCGGCGGTGAGACCTTTTTCTCCCCCAGCAGTCGCAAACACTCTCCGAATCTCATATTCACTTCTTCAAACCCAGGAATCAATCACCAAAGAAACCAAAATGACTAATTGACTATGTTAAGATACGACGGCGATAGTGATAATTTTTAAGAGAGTAGAACGCGGACTACGACTGGAAACGCAGACAAAGGAAACTCGCGTTTTTAAACGCAACGCTATTATATAATTACAAATTTGTAAATATAGCGGGAAGGCTTATTTTGGGCCGGTTTTGGATGACCCATTACATAAAACTTATCTTGCCAAGGGAAGCACCGAAGAAGTGTCCAAGATAGTGGTCATTTCCAAGCTTGGATTCTTGCTACTTATCCCCTCAATACACTCGTGTAGCTCGTTAACAACTTTAGACATGGATGGTCGTTTTGAGGAAGAAGGATTGGCGCATGACATTGCGAGTTCAAGAGCTCTCCATGCAGAGTTAGAGTCATAGTCCTTGCCAAGGTTTGGATCCATAATCTCTGTAATATCACCTTGGTTCATCTTAAAGCCAACCCACTGTGTTATGTGTAAGGTCTGATTAATCACGGGTTGGTTTGTGATCATCTCCAATAACACGATCCCGAAACTGTATACATCACTCTTCTCACACAAACGCCTTTCATGGTAATATCTGCAAGACAACAACAACAACAACAACATTGTAACATACCCTTCTAACCATTGCACAAGGAAATTAAAAAGTTTCAGGAAAACTAATAACAGAAACTTACTCGGGATCAAGGTATCCAAAAGTACCAACAACCGCCGTTGCATCCTGACTTTCGCCACCAACTTGGAAAGATCTTGAGAGACCAAAATCAGCGAGTTTGGCCTTGAGATTCTCGTCAAGCAATATGTTTGCAGTTTTGACATCTCTATGAACCATCGGTGGTGTGCATCCAATATGTAAGTACTCCAATCCTATGCAATGAAGTCAATTATATCAACTGATTTGCAGTAAACCCCATTGAATCGTATATCTTGTCCTTTACGGTTTTTAACAAAGTACGAACCTAGAGCTGCCTCCAAAGCTATTCGGAGTCGAATACTCCAGTTGATGATGCATCCATCTTTTCCTGTATACTAGACCGTTACATCCATTCGAGGTTTCTACATGAGCTAGTACTGCACGTGAAATCACTATAAGAATATCACCTGACAAATGTTGTTTTAAGTCTCCATTGGGCAGATACTCGTAGATGAGTCCCAAGTGATCTCCTTCATAGCAATACCCGACGAGGCTCACCAGATTTGTATGGTGAACTCTCAGAAGAAGATCAACCTAAAGGTAAGACTCATGCCAAGGAAGATATTGAAATCCATCACAACCTTTAACAAGTATGATTTAGTTGGCTAGAGCTATGGATACCTCAGCTTTGAATTCTTTATAGCCCTGAGTTGAAGATTGAGAGAGTAGTTTAACAGCCACCTCTTGAGATCCATTTAAAGTAGTACCGTGATACACCATGCCGAAGCCTCCTCTGCCTAAAACGTTTTGGAAGTTATTTGTCATTTTGAGGACCTCTGAATATGTGAACCTTCTGCTTTTCTTATTAGCAAATGTATCATCCACGGTTGGCGTCCACGGCAGCAACTGTACTAGACCTGTACATCCGAATAATGTCTTTCATCTCTTCTTTACATATGTATTTCGTATTTGATGTCTCTTTCAAATTACCTTGTAGATACGTTGACTTTTTACTTTTAAGTAGAAGGAGAATAACCATTACAGCAATGACTATGGTAGCAGAAGCAACCGATGCAAAAATTGGAATAAGAACTTTCTTCTTTGGCGGTTTTCTACATGAATCAGAGAGGCAAAGCTTCGGGTTTCCTTCTACGCTACAGTTAGAAAAGGGTTGTTCAATGTTCAGGACAGTAAATGCACAAAAGGGTTGTAGATAATAACTGAGAACACTTCAGAAGCTATATATGTAGGAAGTTTCTTACAGTAGCTCGAGTCCTTTCCTCTGTAGAGATTGAGGAATTGAACCATTAATATCGTTCCCGCTTAAGTTTCTGCATACAAAAGAGCATCAATGACTCCGAGGTGGAGTTCTAAAAAGCAATAGAAAATAATATTCTTGAAAGAAACTTACATGAACAAGAGTGATTTCATGTTGCCTAGAAACTCCGGCACCTCTCCGGTCAAGTTATTATTCGACAAGTCCCTGATGTTTGCAAGAGAGAATAGAGTATCCAATAATTTCCCCATCCATAATATAACAACTTTTTTAGCCTTCAGTTAACAACACTCAATAGGAATACTTACAGTTTTTCTAGTAGCGTAAGATCTTGAATGGCAGCAGCTATGTTTCCAGTTAAACCACTTGAAGACAAGTTTCTAGTTAAATGTTCAGAATCACATTCCAAGTGTTACTGATCAGAATCTTGAAGATTTTTTACTTGTACTACTAAAACTTACGACTTACAAAGCAGTGATTTTTGGTGGTACGGACAGAAACGTGTTGATGCAGTTTAAACCGTCCCACCTAAGCTGTTGAGGGACGCATGGATCGCCTTGCCAATTAATTCTACTCAATCCATAGGTGGTCTCAATGTTTCTCATAGCAACCACTGACATAAACAGGTTTTGTGATGATTAAGTACTATGTTGTGTTTATATACGATTGATTTGTTTACTAACACAAGAAAGCATAGACCTGGAAAAGAAAATAACATTCACGACATACCGTTGGTTTCCTCTGTTTCGGACTGCGGAAAGTGAATAACTGTGTAGACCTCAAAAGCATTAAGTAGAGGCGGAAGAGTTGAGTTGTTGGTTCTAATCAGCTGAAAGCTACATTTCCCTCCTTTGCAAGTTATCGGTGAGTTGTTCGAGATAGTATGTAAGCCTAGCCTTTGTGGAGTTAGAGAGGCATAACTCACTTCTCCATTCCACATCACGTTGAATTCTCTGGTTTCATTTTCCTGCAAGTCTTGGATCTCAGAAATGTGTGCGTAGTAGTAATATTGATCATCAGGTCTTAGATTAGTCCATTCAATCGTCAGTGGCGCACTAGCATTAGTAGGTACGGCTGCTGTTGCAAGGGCGACTTCCGGTGGATCATAGCCGTTAGAATTGCGCACTTTGAGACCAGTGGATATCTGTGTCCATTCCTTCATAAAGAACGGAAGCCATAGGCGATCATAGACATCTGTCATGTACCTGCGCAACAAAACATTTTGTCTTACAAACAAAAGGTATGATCTTTTGCACTGTTTTTCCTTGACAAAAACCAGCCTTTGTGTTGAAAATTGTAAACAGGCACAAGGACGCAAAAGAAAAAGGAGATGATACAGAATAAAAACAGAGCAAACCACAGCAGAAAGATTACTTAGTACTTACCGTAGGGTAGATCCCGACTTGCTATGATAGCTACGGATGAAATAACTCAGGGAGCCAGACTTAGTGTTATAAGTGTCATTTCCCATCGGCCGTAATTCCAACGTTGATATTAACGGTGTAGTCCTCCCAGTCTTAACCAGACAAATCTGCAACGAGTTTGATGTTGGGACATGTAACATCTCGCTCTGTGTACCATTCACAAGTTTCTCCAAATCTATGGTGGCCCATATATTAGGTCCAATATAAAGATCAAACACCGGGTTAATGTTTTGACCATCATAGTTTTCATAGATAAAATAAGCCCTGATCAAATGTTTCTTTCCCTTCTCTACACTCAGATTGTAGCAGTTCCTATTTCCATCTGGAAAATATCTCAGCGTTGTGTATGGCTTTTTGAAACCACTCTCTCGATTTGCTTGGATTCTACCAGTTTTTCCGCTCTGTATGAGACTTTCGTCTGAAGAGAACCACAGTCCAGTCGTAGTCTCTTTATAAGGAGAAGTCTCGTTTGCGGGTAAACCGCAATCCAAACTGATGAACCCTGTTAAATAATACACATTGTACAGATTAACCATTCAAACCAGTGCACTTCTGAGAACAAAAACGTTTTGTAGAGAATTTGTCAAGAAAAAGAAGACGTTTGTAGAAGGAGCAAGGATGTATATAGAACAAATAAGATAATATGATACCTCGCTGGTCTTGAGCTTGAACAAGATGAATGATGGCCAAAGTTTCAATTAGCACCAACAAAAGCCCAAGAGAACCCTCCATACTCTCTTAACTCCCAAGGAAAAATCAAGAAACCGTTAATGGCTATGCTGTTGAAGATAAACAGCAAATAAATAAGCAAACCCAAATCATACACTAGAAGAAAGACTTTGGCAAGTCAATGGTGAAAATGGGTAGTGCCAGATAAACCAAGGAGGAACAGCAGAGCAGATACCGGTTAAGAGGACAAGAATGTCCCAGTATTAATGGAAGAATAGAGAGTAGACTAAGAAAGGCACGTTAAGCAATAAATTGCCACTTTAAAGGACAATCAATTACATAAGACGAGTCCAACAAAAATGTCCTTTCTTTGTTTGAAAGTTCTAACTTAATTTGTGAGTCTCTTAAGTTCAGCTTATAAGGTGCTTAGTAGCTTAATTATATCGTTTGAGAGTAGAGATAAGTGAGCAATATGACTGGCCAACTGGCCAAGCTGTAGTGAATAAATAAGCCAAACCCAAATCGCACACTAAAAGAAAAGACTTTGACTGCACTCGCAACCTAGATTCGTATTCTAATGTTTTTTAAAGAAAAGTTGATTTAGGATAGTGTCACATTTGGCTCAAGGGGACTTACTTGGGACATACAATATGCATTTTACGTGCAAAGAAGATATTGCAGTACCATGATGTACGAAGAAATGCTGACAAGTAGTTGACTTTCTGATGGTCATTGACTTGGATTGGTGAAGATAATCTCTCTGCCATCTACACATAGAAGAATAGTAAACTTAATGTTGTTTAATCCGTGGATACAGCTTAGACGCTCATACATAGCATAAGTGTGTTGTCAAAAGAAGAAAAAAGTTCCAGAAGGGAAAAACTCGTAAATAAAAGTTGAAATTGTCATTCACAAAACAGTGAAACAAAATCCAGCCTTCATCTTTTCTAATCAATTTTGCATGATTTTTACGACTAACAAAGACGGGCAGAATTTAAAAGAGCACAAGCACAAGCTGCACAAACTATCTTGCCCCAGGAATCACCGAAGAAGTATCCAAGGAAATGTTCATTTCTTGAGATTCCAAGCCTCGATTGTTATTCATCCTCGAGTTTTCACACACAATACACTCTTTAAGCTCGCTAATAACCTGAGACATGGTTGGTCGTTTTGAGGAAGAAGGATCAGCGCATGAAACTGCCAGCTCAAGTGCTCTGGATCAAGGTATCCAAGAGTACCAGCAATCACCGTTGAATCATGAGATTCGCCTCCAACTTGGAAAGATTTCGAGAGCCCGAAATCGCCGAGCTTGGCCTTGAAATGTTCGTCAAGCAATATGTTTGCAGTTTTGACATCTCTATGAACCATTGGCGGTGTGCATCCAATATGTAAATACTCCAATCCTATAAAATTGAGTCATCCATATCAACAAATTTATCGTATAACCAGTAGAATCAATTCTTTCTTTATGGTACAAACCTAGTGCGGCCTCCAAGGCTATGCGCAGTCGACTACCCCAGTTGATGACGGATCTACCTCCTTCTCCTGTATATTAGATAGTTAGATCTTTTCAAGATTTCCAAGTTCCATGAGCAATCAAGCAATCGCTAGAAATGTTAACCTGCCAAATGTTGTTTTAAGTTTCCGTTAGGCAGAAACTCGTAGACGAGGGCTAAGTGATCACCTTCATAGCAATACCCAACGAGGCTCACCAAATTTGTATGGTGAACTCTAAGAAGAAGATCAACCTAGGGGCACACAATTAAAGAAAACAAAGAAATCCATAAATTTTGTTATGTTAAAAGCCGATCACATAGTTTAGCTCGGAAGGTTAGAGAACAGTACTACAATTACCTCTGCTTTGAATTGTTTATAACCTTGAGTTGAAAGTTGAGAGAGTACTTTAACGGCCACTCCCAAACCATTTACAGTACCTTGATACCCGAAGCCAAACCCTCCTTTACCTAGAACTCTTTGGAAGTTACTTGTCATTTCGATAACCTCTGAGTATGTGAATTTTCTGCTTTTCTGATCAAATGAAGGTTCAGGTGTAACATTCACCATTGAAGTCCTTGGTGGCAGGCGTAGACCTGTACATCAGAACAAGGAAGTTATCATTTTATAGGTTTCGTTATTTGATGCCCTCTCTTGCAAATTACCTTCAATAGCTGTTGATTTCTTCTTTCGGAGTACAAGAAAAAGAACAAATACAGCAATGACAATGGCTGCAGAAGCAACTGATGCAACTATTGGCACAAGAGTTTTCGTCTTATTTGGTTTTCTACATGAATGAGAGACACAAAGCTTTCGGTTTCCTTCAACACTACAGTAAGAAAGGGCTTGTTCAGGACGACAGTAAATGCACAAATTCAGAATTATATGTGGAAAGATTCTTACAGTAGCTCGAGTCCTTTCCTCTGCAGAGATTGAGGTATTGAACCATTAAGATCGTTCCCGCTTAAGTTTCTGCATACAAAAGATCATTACTGACTCCGAGGTGGAATTCTAAAAAGCATTAGAGAATATGCTTCAGAGAAACTTACATGAGCGACAACGATTTCATGTTGCTTAGAAACTCCGGCACTCCTCCAGTCAAGTTATTATTGGACAAGTCCCTAATGTTAGCAAGAGAGAAATAGAGACACGAAAGTTTTCCAATTTACTCCCAATCCATAATACGAAAGATTTTTTTTGCCTTCAATAAACAATTGGTAATACTTACAGTCTTTCTAGTAGCGTAAGATTTTGAATGGCAGCTGCTATGGTTCCAGCTAAACGACTTGAAGACAAGTTTCTGGTGTAGTGTTAAAAAAATAGAATTCAAAGTGTAAATCATCATGTATTATTAGCAGATCTTGAAGTGTGTGTGTGTGCTCTTGCGTCCTAATAAACTTAAGACTTACAATGAAACAATTCTTGGTGGCAAGGACATCTCCGTGTTGCTGCAGTTTAAAGAGTCCCACCTAAGCTGTTGAGGAAAGCATGGATCGCCTTGCCAATTGATTCTACTCAATCCATAGGTGGCTGTGATGTTCTTCATAGCAACCACTAACATAAATAGAAAAAAAAAAAGATTCTTGAGTACTCTATCGTGTTTGTGATTCAAATCATTACTAACATAAGAAAGCATAGACCTCATATCCATAAGATTGAAAGGAACACACATACCGTCGCTTGCATCTGTTTCAGACTGTGGAAACTCAATAGATGTGTAGACCTCATAAGCGTTGAGTAGAGGAGGCAGAGTTGATCTGTTGGTTCTTGTCAGCTGAAAACTACACTTCCCTTCATCGCAAGTTCTCGGTGACAAGCTTTCAATAGTAGTTATCTTTAACTTTGGGGGAATTACAGGGTCAGAGATAACTTTGCCGTTCCATACCATGTGGAATTCCCTGATTTCATTTGGCTCCAAGTCTTGGATCTCAGCAAAGTGTGCGTACAAGTAATACTGGTTATCAGGGTTTGTTGCAGTCCACTGGATCGACAATGGCGCAGTGGCATTACTAGGCATGGCAGCATTTCTTAGCGCAGCTTTCGGTGGAACATACTTGTTGGAGTTGTTCACTTCAAGAGTGGTGGAAATGTGGGTCCAATTCGTCTGAAAGTACGAAATCCATATACGATCATAGGGTTCTTCTGTGTACCTGGGGGTGTGAACAAAATCATTTTTCACAAACTTGGATCCTTGTAATCTTATCAGAACAATTATCTCAAAATATTTATATAGAAAGTGTAAAGGATAAAGGAGAACATTGCCAGAACATACAGAAGCGAAACAAAGACGCAGAAAAACAAAACAATACAGAGCATAATAAGAAACATTGTTCGAATTAAAGTAGACTTTACCGTATCTGAGATCTTGACTCGCTAAGATAACGCCAGTAGTAAAGTGACAGAGAGCCAGATTTAGTGATATAAGAATCATTTCTCGCATCGGCCGTAATTCCAAAGCGGATATTAGCGGTGTAGTTTCACGAGTCTTGACAAGACAAATCTGCAACGAGTTTGATGTTGGGATGTGTAAGATATCTTCCCGTGTACCATTCACTAGTGTTTCCAAATCTATCGTGGCCCATTGATTAGGTCCAAGATAAAGATCGAACACAGGGCCAATGCCAAGACCATCATAGTTTCCATATACAAAGGAAGCTCTGATCAAATATTTACGCCCCTTGTCCACATTCAGACTGTAGCAGTTCCTTATTCCATCTAGAAAATATCTCAGCGTCATGTACGGCCTCTGCAAGTTAGCCGCCTTATATGCCTGAATTCTACCAACTTTTCCAGTCTGGATGAATGTCGCGTCCGAAGAGAACTGTAATCCAGTTACCTCCTCTTTATATGGAGACAGTTCACCCGCGGGTAGCCCACAATCCAAACTGATGAACCCTGTTTAGTGTTGACAGAAATGGGAAACATTAACCTTTAAAACCAGTGTGCACTTCTGAGACCCAAAGCGTTTGTACAAGAGTTTTTCAAGAAAAACGAAAAAAAAAAAAACGTTTGTAGAAGTAGTAGGAAGGATGTCTAAAGAAAGAAAAATAAGATACTTGATACCTTGTTGGTCTTGAGCTCTAACAATATGAATGATGGCCAAAGTTATTAGCACTAACAGAAGCGCAGGAGAACTCTCCATATTCTTTTAACTCCCAAGAAAAGTGAGGAAAACAATTGGCTAAGCTGTGGAGGATAAATAGTGAATATATAAGCGCCAAACCCAAATCGCACACTAAAAGAAAAGACTTTGACAAGTCAATGTGCTTTCACCATGCAACAAGAAGAGTAGCGAGTAAATAAACAAACCCAAATCATACGGTAAAAAAGAAAAGACTTTGTCAAGTCAATGGAAAAAGGTGAGGGTTAAGAGGACAACAATGCTTCCAAACATCATGAAGGAGCAGACCAACAAGCACGTCACGGAATCAAAGGAGAATCAACTATCTAAGACAAGTCCAGGAAGAAATTTCGTTCTTTATTTGACAGCTCTCATTAACTTGTGACCCTTGTAAGTTTAGCTAAGGTGATCACTGATTAGCCTAACTATTTTGTTTTTGAGGGTCCACAGTCATTTTTCTAAGGTTCTGTAGAGTTCCTGATTTGTGACATTGCTCAGAGAATATGCAGCTTACTTCCAGAGAAAGCTATCAATCACACAGAAAGAACCATGATTGATTTAATGATGCACGAAGAAGTAGTAGACTTTCTAGTGGTCGTTTACTTGGACTGGCTTTAAAATCATAAACCCATAGATATAATTTTGCAAGTTCTCGTTAATTTGTAGTCGTATCAGAGACTTCGAATTTTTGTTAAAAGTAAAAATTGTGCCCATATTACCTTCCGAGTTCCGGCCATGAATCTGTGAGAATTCTGAGTCCCATCTCTTTCAACCGGCGTCGCCCGGCCCAATAGCTGTCGTGGAGAATACGACGATGAAGAATAACCGGCGGTAAAACGGCCATATACGGCAGCGGAACCTCCCGTCGTGAGAATGAGAATGCCTGTCCAGCAGCAACATGCCCGGTGACGAAATGACGGCGATAACATTTGAGAACGCGGTCGACGATTAGAATGCTGGAAACGCAGCCAAAGGAAGCTCGTGTTTTAAAACGCAAACGCTATTATAATTTACAAATAAAGCGGCAAGGCTTATTTTGGGCCGATATTGGATGGCCCAATATATAACTATTTTATCCATAACGAATTCGGATCCAATATCTATCAGAAATCTGTCGTCGTCTTCGTAGTCTACGCGAAGAAGCAGTCACCAGCAACCGAAGTTTAGAGAGAGAGATAGAGGAGAGATTTCCCCGGAGGACCCAAAGTGAGAGAGAGGAGAGATGAGATTGTTCGATCCATGGCCAGTGTTCTTCAAGAGGGAGTGGAAACGTTGTTGGCCGTTTCTCACTGGATTCGCCGTAACCGGCGTCCTCATCACCAAGCTCACGGCTGGACTCACCGGTAAGTTGCTCAGATCTGACCGATCTTCTATGGAAATGACAGAATTAATCCTCAATCGATCCGTATTTGTGGAAACAGATCGGATTTATGATATATCCGAGGCTTTCTTATCTATTGTGTTTCTCGTGGTTGATTGTTAGATCGATTGTGGGAACCCTAATTTATGTAAATGTTTATCTAATTAATTTGCAGAGGAAGACGCCAAGAACTCCAAGTTCGTCCAACAACACAGGCGGTAACAATCTTACCCTTTCGATCAATCATTTGTATCACATTTCATACTTTTTGATGTTTTAGTGTTCATTTACGATTTGGGAAATGATTTAGAAACTGAATGTGATTTCTCAGCATCTGTTTATTGAATCACTTTTAGTCCCCCACATGATTCAGAATTCTTATAGTCATATTGTAATCCTCATCAATGATTTGGTCCTGTGAAGTGACTATCAACTTAAACTCTGAAGTATCATTTTTTCCCAAATCTCAATGCCTGTTGTTTAAACTCTCTGCATCTGCTTCTCGAGTCAAAATTGTTCTGTATATGGTTTTGCTTGATGCATTATGAGACATGCGTGAATTTTCCAACTTCAGTCAGATTATCTAATCTAAGGTGCTTGATCAGGCTCATTCTCTTAAGTCTAAACCCTTTTATTATTACAAAAGTATCTATTTGAATCATAATATATACACAGGTTTTGCTAAACACTAACCATCCTATGCACTTGTTCATGATTGTTTCCAATTTCAGGTGATCTACTAATGTAGAAGCTGAGAAAGAAGAGAAGGTCTCTATGAAAACTATTGCGAGTGCTTCGGCTTTCAAGCCTATTTAATAACCTAAAAGAGAGAATTCTAGATACTGCCCATCTCTCCTTTCCTTTTCATCTTTTTGTTTTTTCACAACTTTTGATCAGTGCAAATTCTACTTTTGTTGATCTAATATTTTTGAAATAAATTGATTCCTCTCTTACTCTCTGTTCCCATACGTTAAAATAAGTCTTACAGTTGTGAATGATTTGGATACACAAACAAGCTTTTTGGTTCCTGTGTTGAATCGAATGTGGATCGTTTACAAATTACCATCCATTAGTATCAATCAAATCTCATTACAATCAAGAGTTAAGCTAAAATCTTACTACTTTTCATCATAGTGTAGCTCGTAGTAAAATAGTTTTTTTGAGACAAATTAAGCTAACGAATCGAGTCCAAGAAACGTGCAATGTTCCTGCTTTCTTGAAACCCACGCAAGAAATTGAGAAAAGGCGTGAGCTTATGCACCAAACCCCAAAACAGATCAGCCCTAACCATAACCTCCTCCTGCGTGACTCTCAGTGCCTTGCTCACCACGAAATTCCCAAATTGACTCCTCGCCAGCCTCAACAACCCGTCTCCTTCGCACCCCAGAAGCTCTTCCACCACCATAACCCTCGACGCCTCCGTCTTCAAAAGCTTCTCCACGATGAAGCTCCCCTGCTTCTGAAACGACAGCTC